TGTGTCATTTTCCTTTTGGGTTTCAAGGACATAAGTCTTGAGTGAGGTTTTGTCATTTGTCGCGAGTCCTATTCTGACTTAATAATTTGTTTTCCGTTTTCTCTTGGGGTCCTTTGCTCTGTGCGAAGCGTGCTGCCAGGTCTTTGCTTCTGCTCACTATCGCTATTGGAATCATGCCCTGACAGTGGCGAGCGTCTCAGTTGTTTTAGTCCTGTAATCGTTCTCGTTGTTCGATCTACAGCATCTGAATGATTGTAGTCCTGTAATCACTGAGGCGGTTTGTGCCACAGTCCCGGTTTTGCTCAGTATCGTTGTTGGAGTCGTGGCCTGACAACGGCGACCGTCTCAATTGTTGGAGTCATTTACTAGTTCTCGTTGTTCGCCCTACAACCTGTGAATGATTGTACTCGTCTAATTATTCCCATTGCTTGAGCTACAGCCTCTGAATGATTTTAGTCCTGTGTTAATCACTTTGGCGGGTGGTGTCACAGTCTTGTTTCTAGTCCGTCCTCGAAATGGTTTGTTTGCAGCAGTCTGGAATCGCCACCAAATGCATTGTTGCTCTCAAACTAGTCCATGAATGTTGAACATTTGTTTGGGCGCCTACTTGATACTGAACAAGGCTTCTTTCACAAACGTGTCTTAGAGTCCTCTACATATGGCCTCTTTGACAAACGTGTCCTACACAGTTTGCAAGCAGTACAGTTCACATTTTTGCACCTATCCAGATTCACGCGATGGATCCAATCCACTTTGCTGGTCAGACCTCGGCAGTGCCGTACCCCCATTCACCGTTGGAAGTTAACTCCAGAAGATGCCAAAGTACAACATTACTGAGTCGACAGGTGATTCAAGAAGATGCCCAAGCACAAAATAACTCTTGGCCAATAAACTCCTCAAAAAACTTGATGCAATCAGTACTTCAACGTCACGATATTAGTGAGCAAAGGAGGAGAAGGGAAGAAGAGACTTAGAACGTGGGATTGGAAGTAGACATTTCTCACTTCTTCCTTGGGCTTCCCCTCACCGCCTCGTTGTCTACGGTGTTCAAGTAACGAGTAGAACAGTTCGGCATCGCATGGAGGTGCCACATGGCACGGTCCAGACGAAAACAACGTTTGTACCATGCCACGTAGCCCCTCGATGTGATGCCGAACTGTTCTACTCGTTACTTTCAAGACAGCATCGAACAGATATGTATTTACATCCCGTGCTGTCAACCACAGATCTCGATCTTCCTCCACGTCGCGTCCAACTCAACAATGAAGACAGGTGGTGAATGCCACGCAAGTAGACAATGTGGTGTGCGCCACATCAACAAGTAGACAGTGTCGCATATGCCACATCAACATATAGACAGTGTAGCATGTGACACGTCAGCAAGTACACAGGACATCAAACGTCGCATTAGCGTGTAGACGGCGTGGCATGTGCCACGTCAGCAGAGGATGGCACCGAGGAAAGGAGGCTCCGGCATGCCTCCAGGGCGCTCGCGTCGTCGTCGCTATCTGCTTTCGAAGTTGTCTTGGTACCTGCACGTCAACAAGTGCGTGTGTCTGATTTTCCACCCCGGTTGGGTTCATTTTTGCGTTGACTGCCAGCTCTCAAGCAGTTCACTTCGGTCAAAATACTGCACGTCCAGGCCCTGGAAAACACCTTCCCCCTGAGGATGATTGTAAGACTTTGTTACAATTCGACGAAAACTCATCCCGGGCTGAATCATCGATATAGGACTATAAACCGATTTCTCTTTATCTCTGAAAAGTGCCTTCTGTTTGCCGTCGGGAGGCCCTTCAAAAACTCTCTCCAGACTACACCAGCCCTAGAAAAACATCACCGACTTTCTACTGTCACTCAATTTAGGGGAGGGGGTTGTCACCCGCTGTCTCCCGACAGCTCCCTTTCCTGCTTCCGAAGCTGAACTCTCATCTCAAAGGTCGGACAAATAAAACCTCGCTGTGAAGGATGCGAAATGAGCATGCTGGGGTGGCGGAGCAACTGAAGCTGGTCTTGTGGAGGCCGAATACGCATAGCACAAATTGTTTGTCAGAGTCTGAAGGGCAGTGTCATGTGTCGGCCGACTCGCTCCCTTAATGCCAGCGTGACTGCATACATAAAAGTTGAAGTCGGTGGGATGGCAGATCCCCTTGTCCTCAACAGTGTCTGGATCGACATTTCGTCCAAGATCAAAGAGCCGTGTGTGATGCCTTTTCTGGACCACAATGAATGTTGTCCTTGGCTCATCTGTTGCATTCAGCGACTTGCATGCCTTCTTCATCTAAGTGATTTCCTTTCTCATGACAACCTTGAGCTGTCGTGGGGAAGCCCTTCAAAAGCCGCCTCTAAACTACAGCAGCCCCAGTAAAACATGATCTTCCGACAACGGGGTTAACACCCGCTGTCTCCCAACAGCTCCCTCTCCTGCTTCCGAGGCTGAACTCTCATCTGGAAGATCGCTCCCTCTCGTCCGAGGTGCTAGTTTGGTGCAAGGCTGCTATGTCAGAACCTCGTGACCCTCTAGAAAATTGTTGTCGCTTGTCCCGTTTTTGTTCTCAAACATGAAAAATGTTGTCGCTTGTTCCATTTTTGTTCTCAAACATGAAAAATGTTGGCGCTTGTCCCGTTTTTGTTCTCAAACATGAAAAATGTTGTCGCTTGGCCAACGAATCTATATCGAGGATGCTTGTAGGACACTGTTACAACTTCGCCAAAAGTCTTGCCAGGCAAAATCCTCGATGTGGAATTACAAAGCGATTCTCTTTGCCTGTGAAAAACACCTTTCCACTGGGGATGCTTGTAGGACACTGTTACAATTCGACGACATCACATTCAATCATGTAGAACAAGCAAAGGACTGGGACAGCCTCCGCCATGTCTTCCACAGACCCCAAAGAAATCCTTATCTCTGTACATTCCACCTCGAAGTCCATTGACATCACGTTCCGGCATCAATCCTGAATTTCAATTCACGGCGGTCAGCAGTAAAACACAACCTTTTTTCATATTGTCACTCGATTCCGGCAAGGGCTAATCATACGCTGTCTCCCAACAGCTCCCTCTCCGCTTCCGAGGCTGAACGCTCCTTTGAAACGTCGCCCAAATAAAACCTCGCTTTGAAGGATGCCAAATGAGTACAATAGGCTGGCGGAGCAACTGAAACTGATCTTGTGCAGGCCGCATATGTAAAGCACAAATTATTTGTCTAAGTTTGGTGTGCACTCCACCATGTCTTCCACATACCCCGAAGAAATCCTTCTCTCTGTACATTCTACCTCCGTTGACATCACATTCCAGCATCAATCCTTAAAGTTGGTCAACGACAGTCAGCAGTAAAAACACAACCTTTTTTTTATACTGCCACTCAATTCCGGCAAGGGGTGATCACCCGCTGTCTCCCAACAGCTTCCTCTCCGCTTCCGAGGCCGAACGCTCTTTTAAAACGTCGCCCAAATAAAACCTCGCTCTGAAGGATGCCAAATAAGCATAATAGGCTGGCGGAGCAACTGAAACTGATTTTGTACAGGCCGCATATATGTAGCACAAATTATTTGTCGGAGTCTGGTGTGCACTCCACCATGTCTTCCACATACCCCGAAGAAATCCTTCTCTCTGTACATTCTACGTCCATTGACATCACATTCTGACATCAATCCTGAAAGTTAGTCCACGGCAGTCAGCAGTAAAAACACAACCTTTTTTTATACTGCCACTCAATTCCGGTAAAGGGTAATCACCCGCTGTCTTCCAACAGCTCCCTCTCCGCTTCCGAGGCCGAACGCTCCTCTGAAACATCACCCAAATAAAACCTCGCTCTGAAGGATGCCAAATGAGCATAATAGGCTGGCGAAGCAACTGAAACAGATCTTGTGCAGGCCGCATATGTGTAGCATAAATTATTTATCGGAGTATGGAAGGTGTCTAGGCCAATGTTATTTTCATTATACAGGACATTGTAATGCGCCGGCCAACTCGTTTCCTTAATGCTAGCGTGACTGTATAAATAAAATTCAAAGTCGGTAGGATGACAGCTCCCTTGGTTCACAACAGTGCCTACATCGACATTTCTTGTACAATCAAAAAGTTGTCCGTGATGCCTCTTGTGGACCACACTTTATGTTATCTTTGGCTCATATGCTGCATGATCCAGCATCCAGCGACTTGCATGCCTTCTTTATCTTAGTTATTTCCTTTCTCATGACAGCAATGAACTGTCCTTCGCTCACCTCATCCCTGTAAAAGACATTTTTTTGTGACCACCTCTTCTGATTACCCTAGTTGTAGAACACCATCAATAACTCTAAGATTAGTTTCAATTGCTCCGGACCCCC